CTTATTACAGTTGACGGGGAACTATAGGCAAACGAATGCAAATAACAAATACTATACGATATCGCATATCAGCTCTATGTGTCAGGCACAGGCCAGGTAAAACTCCGTTCACTCATCAAATTGTTATTTACCTGTTCTGTTATCTTGGAGCCAAACCCATTTTTGACAGCCTAACGGTCGATGTAATACTGTGTAACACGCATTGTAAAATTGTACATAATCTTGATTATTGTGATGAGAAATTACAGTGTACATTATTATATTCAAGCTTTCCGTATTTTTGGCATTCCGTAATATTGATCTACAAATTGTATCAAATCGCACAGTTGTGCGGTCACACAACTGTAATAACATATCTTCTGATGTCGCTTACTTTATTCAGTATTTTTAAAGATTTTGTCTGGCGACGCTTGATGTCACTTGAAGACGCTAGCTTGTTGTCGGTTGAAGATAATGTTAAGGAGGACCCGCCTCCATTTGACAACACAATAACTTTGGATTCAACCAAAATCCATGTGTGGATGTTTAAACATAAATTACTTCATAGGAGTACCTCACTGTATATAATATCTTATATTTGCCAAAGTTTCAATTCTCAAACTAATCCCCCCCCCCCCCGCCCAAATAGTGGCAAAATATTCACAAGTCACTAATTTATATTTCAATTAACACTTTTTATTGAGTGCGTAGCCAACGTTCAATCATGGCTATAGGGAGTTTGAATTGATAACTTCTATTATTGAAATCGACAATTCAGCACAGCTTGTAATACATGTAATATTTACACATGAAATAAAGGGACCTGACGGTCAATTGTTAGTGTTTACATGAACCTTAATGTTAAGTGCAACATCTAAGAATACCTGTTTGAATATATGAATATATGTATATGTCACATATTGAGAAACTGGTTAGCAACGCTAAGATAAAGAGGTCAAATTTTCCTCTATCGCTCTATCGCTCTTGTGGTTTTCATCTCACATCTTCACACTTCAAAGAGGGGCAAGGTCAGATTGATACAAATATGATCATTTCATGCTCTTCACCTAAGAATTTTAGTTGGAAAGTTTCAAGTTATTGTGCTGAAATCAGATCTTCAAGATGGTGTTGGCGGTTGATTCAGATCCCACTCTTCATAGCACTTTACAGAATAAGACAAACCATGATGACTCATTATTCTTTGCTTCTCAGAAGACAATGTTTCCATATTTTAACACATTTGACCACTCCCGTGACCTTGAAACTAGGCCGACGTCATTTGCTTGAACAAACGTTATAGCACTTCATCTCAGCATGTGCTACTGGTTAAATACCATCATCCTAGGTCTGGGTTGTTTAGAAGAATTTAGTTTAAGGTTTAAACTATTTGATTCCAGAAACCTTGGATAGGAGTCAAGGTCATTTATATGAACACCACTTAATCTCAGCATGCAACTTACAAAATCTCATCAGACAGTTTATTTAAAATGTTTTTCTGTTTTCAATATTTGTGCAGATTTGGTCCTTGTGACCTTTAAACTAGCCTAAGATAAAAAAATTAGAGTTGATAGCTTTTCATCAAAGTATGCTACTGTCGAAATTTTATCCCTGTTGGCCTCTTCGTTTTTTTCAAAATATATTTTAAGAATTTACCACATTTTAAACGTGATCTTGAAAGTGGGTCAACGTTATTCATATAAACAAGCGAAATAGCTTTTGATCCCAGCATGCATGTTCTGCAGGCCAAATATTATGAACCAAGACCTCTTGTTCATTCAGAAGGAGTTGTAAAAAAAATCAAATAGATTTGACCTCTGAAACAGGGCGAGGGTAATTCATTTGAACACAAACTTTTAAATATTTCAACCCAGCTTGCTACGTGCCAAATGCCATCACTTTAGGCCTGTTTGTTATTCAGAAGTGATTCAATTTCCATGACCTTGCTACTCGCGAAAAGTAGGTTGCTTGCTTATTCCAAAATTGCCTATATATTTTAATAAACTGACCTCCTTTGACCTTGAAAGTTCTTTAGGTCATTCATTTGATCGATGTAGATAGTCTCTCATTACTACATGTTAATTGCCAAACACTGCCTCACTCCGTCTTTGCTTATTAGTAGAAGTTGTTGAATTGTTTTATCAAATTTGACCCCTTGACCTTGCAAATGGGTCCAGGTCTTTCTTTTCAATAAAATTGATAAACCTGCTTCCCGTCTTGCATAATGTCATCACCGTAGGCCTCTTAGTTAAACGGTATAGTTGTTCTAAGTAAATTTTTGACTTTGGACAGACGGATGGATGACAAAGGCTGCACCTAACCGTCTAATGATTAATACAGTACTTCAGTTTTTATAATTTATTATTTCAAATGAAAAGACAACAAACAACATATACATCATGTCATTACACCAGGAGATAACCCTATCAGCAGCCTCTAATATAAATCAACAACAATAAAAAATAACATGTACATCATCATGAGTGGGCATACATTATTACAGTGTATATCATCATGAGTGGGCATACATTAATACAATGTACATCATCATGAGTGGGCATACATTATTACAATGTACATCATCATGAGTGGGCATACATTATTACCATGTACATCATCATGAGTAGGCATACATTCTTACAATGTACATCATCATGAGTGGGCATACATTGTTACAATGTACATCATCATGAGTGGACATACATTATTACTATGTATATCATCATGAGTGGGCATACATTATTACAATGTACATCATCATGAGTGGGCATACATTATTACAATGTATATCATCATGAGTGGGCATACATTGTTATAATCTAACACAATGTATATCATGAGTAGGCATACATGGGAATAAAGTGATTAAGAGAAGTCCCGGAATCAAATCTTCACATGTAACTCTATACGACAAGCTAGCTAGGTGCTAATACAGTATAACCTGTCTAAACCGGCCCCTGTCTAATCCAACTATGGTTTGTGGTCCCGGCACATTCCTTATACAGTCGAACCTCGTTATCTCGAACTCGTATAACTCGAAGACCCCGTTTAACTCGAAGTATTTCATCGGTCCCGGCCAAAACTCTTCTTAATCTTAGTAATAAAAACTCTGATAATTCGAACTCTGAAAACTCGAAAACTCGGATATCCCGAAGTGAAACAAAGGTCCCAACAAGGTAAATCCTACATAAAAATATCTCCTATCTCGAAGGTTTTTAAGATTCACAAGTATATCATATATTCTTTAATTATTTGATACATATTAGACGCAGTGCTAATGGCATTAAAATGTGCTTGACTGTAAAAACACTTTGTTCAAATAAAGAAACAAACTTCATCAATGTTGATTAACAACAATTAGTACTCACTGCGAGCCCGAGCCCGTAAACAATTTGAATGGCACTTTGTTTACACCAAAGCTGCCGACACATTCTAACCGGAAAATGGGTCACAGTGTGTGGTCATGCGTAAATAAGCTCCACAGTAAAAATCACAACCTAGGACTGGTTCGCCTGTTTATGTTTTTACAGGAGCTTGTATGGCACTGATAACTAATTGAGAGATTATAGGAACAATACGATAATTATTGTTGAGTACGTCGTGTTGAGGAGATATCAAGTGTCATTGGAATCTATAAATGTGGAAATGTTTCCTGATTAAATCACACCCATTTTGGAATGTCGAAATCAACTGAGCAATCCATACTCAGTGTTTCAACCCTGTATAAACCGGACCCTGTCCATTCCGAAAACCGGCGGTGTTTCACAAAAGTTTGCAACGTAATCCATGTAAAAACAACCTGTTCATTCCGGTCCTGATATTTCTCTAAGCCGGCTTCAATCTTAAGATAACACATTCTAAACAATTAGGATTTGTATTATAAACTGTATATTTTGTAAATAATTAAACGTTCCGATTGATTCATTTCTCTGTTATTTATGTTGACACACTTGTATACAGATCGTATGCAAAACACTACATTTTTGTATTTTCAAAAACTGACATGCCGACCTTGGATAAACCGGACACCTGTATAAACCGGACAAACAGTTTGGTCCTGGTGACATCCGGTTTAGACAGGTTATACTGTATATGAAATTCAATAAAGTCATTCCAGAAATGAAGTCGCTGGAACGATCATAAATATTTTCTATAAAAAAGTAACAATGACCTTTACCTTGGCACCCTGAAACACGAACTCGTTCCAGGCATTCTCATACCTGATCAATCTTAGTATAAAATTTCATCAAAACCCTTTCGAAAATGAAGTCGCTAGAGTGATGACAAAGTGTGACATTCCTTCAAACAGAATCCTACACATCTCCTCTGTCACAAAGGGATTATGTTAAGTATAATTAGGATAATCATGACTTGTTTTCTCAGGAAATGCAAATCTTAATCCAGAAAATATGACAACAATATTTGAAGTGCCCTTTGTTATTGCATCCAACAAAAGTGTTACACGTACATGTATTATAAAGCTCAAGAGAAATCCCCTTTAGCTGAGGTAGTAACAGTCACTAATGAGTTCCCCACTAATAATTTGTAATAATTATCATTGTGTATCAGAATTAACAACTTCGAGATGAAACGTTTCATAAATATTAACATTGCAAACATACATTTTATCTCAAGTATTACAGAATTGACATTTCCATATCGTGATGATTTGATCAATATCGGCAAACAACAATATTGACTTTACCAGTTGGACAGAATCAATCAGAACTTCCCGGTCTATTTCACGTTTCTACCTTCATTCTCGATCTTTCAGTGACAAGGCCCAAGCTGGCTCGTGCCCATGAAAAGACCTCATACTTAAATTTGTATCTGTTTTTAATTTAATGACATTAAAAAAAGTTTCTGAAACACCTCTGACATCTGGACCACTGCAATTTTTGTATTGAATTTTCAATATGTGTTATTATTGACAGTTTACCCGATAGTTTAACAACATGTTGTTCAGGCTGGCAGGCAGCTTCCTCAACCCTGCTTAAGTCTATTCATTTGAGGATCTGAAGAGTTCATTTGAGGATCTGAAGAGGTAATTTTTAAATTGATATACTCATTGGATTATCTTCACATAATTGATTTTGTAAATTGTAGTTTTTATTCATATTTAATTAAAAACAAAATTTCAAAATATAATTTGATAAGATTTTTAACACTTTCCTAGCAAATATATTTCATAAATTTCCAAGAGGAAATGGTAAAATAAAGTTGAATCTCGCATTTGTTTTTGTTTTTTATTTCGAAACATGAATATTAAAAATACTGGAAACTGGCAAACAGATCCAAAACTGATAGTTGTAATGCATGAATTTGTTTTCAAGTCTCATTGAATTTGAAACATCAACAGATAGCCAAGGAGGAATATTTTTCAATTGTTTCAAAAAAACTTTTATGAAAAACTTCCCACAAAAGTCAGGTATGAAATAGTTAATTACAACACTCAAACGTGCTCACAATTTTCTGGGGGAGACCCTCCATACGAGAGGGGGGCAAACCTGCACATCAAACTCTCCCCGTCTCGGCCACCAACCAGCTATTTTAACTTTTCAACCACCTATGCCAAAACCTACTGAGAACCCTGGTCATTTATATTTGCAAAGCATTTTTGTTTTAAGTACATAGAATGTTAATAAAACATGTTTACAAAACCTACCAAGACAGGGCTTGAGGCAATGACGCTGTGAATTAAAATGAAAATTCTATAAGTTTTTTTTTAATGAAAACCAGACATTTACAACATTTTTCTATAGTTATTCATGATTTGCCTTAATCCATGCTCCATTTCATGCGTTTTTCCTCGTTTTCTCCCATGTCATTTCCTGGGGTTCATTATAACGATATTGAAACACAATTTCACTATCTAAAAGATTTGTTACTGAATAGTTATTTGAAAAGTATTTGTATTGACTGGTTTTCAAAGTTTAACAAGTTATTCAAATAATACTGATTTTGCTACACGACTTTGTTCTTTGACTTACAAAATAATGTGAGTAAAATTCAATTTCCAAGAATAAATCACCATACCATACAACTAATTCCATATTGTCAGATAAATAATCAGTTAATTTTCTATCAGGGGATCGTATTTCTTTTCAGTTGCACAATAACTGCTCCGATAGTAATACAACATTTATATAGCGCCCTATATAATTTGTAAAAAAAAATCTCTAAAGCATTGTACAACACATGAATAATAGTATTCCTACAGTGACAGTTATAAATAAAGTAGATCAAAAGGTATACAAATCAGCATTATACATGAAATAACAATACATTCATCTCAATATGTATACAAATAAATATATATAGGGTACATGACAACTGTACAAGAGTCTAAAATGAAGACTTAAAGATGTGAGTCTTCATATCCTTCTTTCTGCCAAGAAAATTTAATGATAAATTAAGACAGTGTTTGCAAATCGTGAATAATCTTAGCATAAGGCTGTAACACTTTTAAATAGCCAAAAAATATTTGTTAGTGCTTTTAGCGTGTTCTAAAAGTCCATTTCTGTATTAAATAAATCATATTGTTTATACATTTTCTAACATTTACAAAACAAATATTTAAACGGTCTGTTCTTCTGATAACATGATCATGATTTTCTGTGTGAAGTCTTATGTGGGGTTACTTTTATATTAATTACAGCCCTGTAATTCAAATAACATGATTTTTTTGTGGTATCTATACCATCCTTATGATCAACTTTAAACCATAACTTTTAAAACTGTTCTAAAATTAGTATCTTTGTTGTTTAATTTTAATACCGAATGCATTTACTAGAGCAATTTAATACACAAAAAAAATCATTGCTGAAGAGTCAAGACCTGAAATACCAGTTATCTACCAGTCTATTTTTAGCACCATAAAAATGGAAAAATAAAAAAAAAACTCACAGAGGACACACCATGATATCGGCGAGAAAAACGCGACTCGAGAATGAATTTTGACAAAAACTTCGAAAAAAAACCTATTATTTCAGGTAAACATTGAAAAGTGATGAAAAGATTTCATAAAATTTTACCTTGTTTTGTGTCATGTTACACATGTGAATGTACATAACATAGAGAAATGAGTGTGAATATTTAGTGGTTTTGTTGACCAAACAATTGGACAAGATATTCATACAAAGCATTGTTTTCTGTCCCCCTTTCCTTTGCTAAGTCTAAAACAGATTCTCCCTGATTAGTTAGTATGGCTGTGATGTCATACTGACTTCCTGTTGATTCTAGATACTGTTTTACATGAGTTTCACACTCAGTGAACAGGCCTACATCAGACGTAGACGAAGCTATATCATGTAGACAATGACACCCTGACTTATATACAGCTGAAGTTAGTGCTGGGTACGACTCACACAGGTATTTACAAACCTCCATGTGTCCCCCAATACAACTAGAATGTAACACTGTTACCCCGTAAATAGTTACAGCTGTAGTTAGTGCTGGGTACGACTCACACAGATATTTACAAACCTCCATGTGTCCCCACGCACAACTATAATGTAATGCTGTTCTCTCGTCATCATCTACAGCTGTAGTTAGTGCTGGGTACGACTCACACAGATATTTGCAAACCTCCATGTGTCCGTTCGAACAACAATATTGTAACACTGTTCCCCCGCTATTATCTACAGCTGTAGTTAGTGCTGGGTACGACTCACACAGATATTTACTAACCTCCATGTGTCCGTCCCCACAACTATAATGTAACACTGTTCGCCCGTCATTATCTACAGCTGTAGTTAGTGCTGGGTACGACTCACACAGATATTTGCAAACCTCCATGTGTCCGTTCGAACAACAATATTGTAACACTGTTCCCCCGCTATTATCTACAGCTGTAGTTAGTGCTGGGTACGACTCACACAGATATTTACAAACCTCCATGTGTCCAAGCATACAACTAGAATGTAACACTGTTCCCCCGCTATTATCTACAGCTGTAGTTAATGCTGGGTACGACTCACACAGCTATTTACAAACCTCCACGTGTCCAAGCATACAACGAGAATGTAACACTGTTTCCCCGTTATTATCTACAGCTGTAGTTAGGGCTGGGTACGACTCACACAGCTATTTACAAACCTCCACGTGTCCAAGCATACAACGAGAATGTAACACTGTGTCCCCGTCATTATCTACAGCTGTAGTTAATGCTGGGTACGACTCACACAGCTATTTACAAACCTCCATGTGTCCAAGCATACAACTAAAATGTAACACTGTTCACCCGCTATTATCTACAGCTGTAGTTAGTGCTGGGTACGACTCACACAGGTATTTCAAAACCTTCATGTGTCCCCCAATACAACTTGAATGTAACACTGTTCCCCCGCTATTATCTACAGCTGTAGTTAGTGCTGGGTACGACTCACACAGATATTTACAAACCTCCATGTGTCCAAACATACAAATTCTATGTAACACTGTTCCCCCGCTATTATCTAAAGCTGTAGTTAGTGCTGGGTACGACTCACACAGGTATTTCAAAACCTCCATGTGTCCCCCAATACAACTAGAATGTAACACTGTTCCCCCGCTATTATCTACAGCTGTAGTTAGTGCTGGGTACGACTCACACAGGTATTTTAAAACCTCCATGTGTCCCAGGTAACAACTCTTATGTAACAATGTTTCCCCCGACTCACTCACTAACTGACACATGTACTGAGCACACACACAATTCCCGTGCACCACACGACCTTCTACTGTCTCACGCTTATGTTGTTCGTCATCAACTCTATACAAGGATTTTAGTATAATGCTCTCCACTTTGTATAATATATTCACTCTCCCTCCCTCTACCACACAAATCAATGTCATCTTGTCAGGTTTCACACCCTCCGACAGGAGGAATAAAGTACATTCTTCTGAACCAGAAGAACATGTTCCATTCAACAAGCGAAGTTTTATCTCATGGCACAAGTTTTTGTCAACGTTCTGACCACTAAGCCATCTGGTAAATCCCTGCAGAAACTGAATATCTGTCCAAACATCTAATGAAGTTATAGAAAGATATTTACTATAAAACCTGTCACTTTCTGGGTCAGAGTTACTAGAATAGACAGATTTAAACTCTCCAAGTAAACGTTCATACATGTACTGATTATCAGATGATATAACTACTTTGTTTGGAGTGGTTTTTGAGGTAGTTACATAACTCAGAAACTTCCTGGGACAATTCTGTATGTAGCCAATGGGAGTTTTTTCTCCATACAAAAGTGCCAGAGTTTCCTCAATTGAGTCATGGTTGAATCTGTAACAAACTTTTTGGTTTTGGTGAGACTCTTTTTTCACCATCCAGCCCAACAGACAATCTAATGACTTCTTCACAAATTCTATTTTCCTCCCCTTATTATAAACAAGCTCAGTTGTTGGGGTAACTTCCACTACATCATCTTTAAATGCTGCTTCTAATAAATTCTCATCAATTTTTTTATTGTTAGAGTCTAAATTATCTTCCATGACTTTGCCTGCGTTAAGGAACAGATACATCAAACCATAACATTTTCCGTCTTTCAATTTAGATAAAGAAGATTTCAGAAAATGAAAAGGTCTTTTAAAAAAAGTCATCCTCTCCGTTTGCAAAGTAGACGAATCTCTGAACAACCTACAGCATTGTGGAAACCCAATGTCAGGAGCACACTTGACAATTTCCTTCTCTTCATCATCTTTCCATGAGTCAAAATTATCTTTTGGTTTGTACAACCTTAAAAATTCCAGTTTTTCTTCAGCATCTATGTTAAGGTCAACAATGTTTTGTTTAGTGAATACCTTTTCTAAGCAAGATCCAGTTAAAGAATTTGAAATTCCACTGCGAATTGCAACGATCAGAAAATTGCCATCTGTGTGCTCATTTCTACAAAATTTTGAAATAATAGATTTTTCTCTTTTCTCCCATTCTTCCACATCTTGTTTACACACAACATTCTTTCCAAAGATATCATCTAAATAAATAACTAATTGTGACTTTGGGGTCACATAATCCAAGTCTTTGATATCATGCAGTTCTAGTGGCTGTCGACATTGTTGCCCCTTCTCATTATAGCACAGCCGACGTAGAAGTTCAAGGGCAATTGATGTCTTCCCGTCTCCAGAATTTCCCTTGATTAACACCAAGCTGTTCTTCATTAGTTTATCGTAGGCATCCTGGAGACTTTTGGTAGAAAGGAACTCGTATTCGTCTTTTTCTTTCAATATCATGGCTGTGGTTGTTTCTGCAAGGAAAAAATAAATCATGTCCCATAAGAACAAACGTCAAGTGTGAAATAGCCAACATTTATGAGTCCCGCATGAAAGTCAGGTTCCCCATGGAAGTCAGGAAATACATCTTTAACGTTAAACAATGTAAAGATAACCTACAATATAGACGTATCTTGATAACATATGAACTCGTGAGTTGTGACATTATACATTATCTGATGGTAAAGATTGATTTTTCTCTCATTTCCCTGTGTGAAAGATAGAGCTGTCCAGGGTAAGAAAGGGGTGTAGGAAATGTTTGTCTTACAACCCATTTCATGTGACTAGACGTCACAATGGCTCAACAATGACGTGACGTCACGAATTTTGAACTCTCCGATGCCGCAATGCGGAAAAGGCGACGTGATGAAATTAAAACCTTTTACAATATTTACACTACAGGTTAGAAATATGTGATTATTTTTTCTGCGCAAACCTTGTTTGCAAACATGGAATATGCTCAATCTGGCTGGCTGATTCTTTTTTGTCTTGGGTTGGGTTGGGATGGGGGGGGGGGGGAAGATTTATTTTTTCAAAATGGTAGTCAGTCGAAACGCATTTTCATGGTTTCAGACCTTATTCTGGTGGTTGGAATGAGAGAAAAATACTCTTCCATGCCCAAGGGTGTAGGATAGGGAAATTCCACCCTCGGGATTTTCAAATTTCACAGGTTTTACCAAATTTGAAAACCTCTCTGGTGGAATTTCCCTATCCTACACCCCTGGGCATGGAAGAGTCTTATAATAGTACCCAGGTGTTTCTGAATCTTTACAAAACAAGATATGCTAAAACACCGACATGTCAACAAGGGCCCCACCGTTTGCCTTAAAGTATAATACATATCCCTAATTGCCAAGCAGATGCCATAGCAGTAATTTTTGATTCTGGAATATGGATAGTAACGCATCATATAAATATATATTTGAAAAGGAACATTTACCAACAGGAATGAATAAAATCTGACCAGCAGAGTAGGAAAAATTGCCTGAAATATCTCAGACAGTCAGAAGCTATGGCAGCCACCTGGTATAATGGTATCTGAGTATTATTATATACCTCACTTATAACAATGTACCATCATGCAAAAATTCTTAAAGTTTCAGACTCCTGGAGTCTGAGACAATCTACACAAAGGAGAATGCGGTCAGACAGACAGTGTGTAGACAGACAAACAGACGGACAGACATAGTGATTTCATAGGACATCTGCAGGGACCTAAATGACAGATGGCTGAGCAATTTATTCTTGCATTGTATTTAAGAATTATTTAGCATAGCTGAATATGAATAGCGCCTGTCTCACTAGAACTGAATTTTACAATGATAACAATAACTAAACACAATCTGTTTCCATCAACCAGCCACAATCACAACATGACATATCAAGTTGATATGATTTTGACCTTGGATGGACGACAACATAACAGTTATTGTTTTATACAAATTCAATTATTTCGCATGCTCTTTAGCATCTGAACAGTATCGTTTGAACTTTTCACTAGTCGCTGTCTCTGAAGATTAGTTTGGTTGATATACACGGTATGCTACAGCTCTCCTTCATCAAGTCAGATCTTCTTATCCATCCCCGTTCAGTAAACTCACCTATCATAGCTGTTAGCTTAGGGACCATATCTGTAAAATACAAAGGATCCATGTGATGTTTTTAGATAATTCACAAAACGTTGATTAAGACATGTGCAATGTAAAATTGGAAACATCTATTTCTACTTCTATTCCTATTTAAGTAAAGATTAGTCATCACCATAAAAAAGAACAAATAATATAAAAATTCTTTTACATTTTTACCAGAGAAATATCAGAAATTATAGTATTATAGTAGAAGGTATATCTTCACTGCTATTTATACATATATATAATTACTGCTATGAAAACAAAACTTGCTATATGACTTACCATACATTAGTATGTATGCAACAATGTTGTCATGTTTCAATTACCGATGTATTTAAATATTTTGAAACTAGTAAAATGGGATGCATCCTTATTAACAAACATCTCACTGACTGGGATTGTGGGACTAAAATTTTACGCACGAGTAATTTTCATCTGATGTCAAGTGTTTTTAGTTCCTCCACGTTTTAGAGAACAAAGAAAAGTGTTGATATAGGAAGACAATGGCAAACCAATTATAGTCTGTATCATATTTACCCCACAGGTAACTTACCTGTGTAAAAGTTACCTGTCTGGCTTGTAGCTATGCTGTGTATGTGATATGTAAGGTACTTTTTGATACATATTTTAGAAGTTTTAATACATTCTGAGGGGTTTGAAATTAGATAATAAATAATAACCTAATTGTCTGTTTATCAAATTTTAGGTTAATATTTAAAATTCATTTATGCATATACACATGAAGGTCCGACATGATGTACAATTCAGATATAACAAATAATAACTAAATAGTAAGAGTTTACAGTCAAATATATCAATACTGATACAAAACAAGAGGCCCAGAGGGCCTGAATCGCTCATCTGAATATGTTTGTAATTGGTATGAAGTTAAGATATAGCACTCCATGGTAGGTGCTGTAAATACATATGAAATTTCAGAAAAATCCATCCAGTACTTGAGATATAGCAAGAACAAACTTCAAACAGAGCCCCACCCCTATGCCTCTAAGGGGTCATACCCACCGTTTAAACAAAATTGAGTCCCCTTGGCCCAAGGATGCTCCAGACTAAATAAGGATAAAATCCAGTCATTCGTACAGAAGAAGGTATTTGAAGAATTTGCTATGTTTCCCCTATCAGGCCCACCCTTCTGCCCCCCCCCCC